AACAGGCCTTGGGGGGCGGATCTAAGATAGAGTTGATGACGATGATGGTGGAGCATCCCATTCCACTCGAGGAACAAAATCTGCCGTTGTAGACAAGGAATCGGAGACGGGCTCGAAGTGTTTGAAGCTTGCGTTGGTGACCAAAGATGTTAGCGCTGAAAAGGTAATGCTGGTAGGCGAAGACTCAGGCCGAGGGCAGCGTTGCGACACCGGGTCGACACTCCAGGCAAGCACCTGTATTAAAACTAGGAACGGGTTCACGGACGGCCGAATCGTCGCTTTGCTGCACTGCCCGCCCATCAATCCCATCATCATCACACATCAATATTTGATAAAAATATTGATGTTGTACATTTGACCAAAAGACCTATCCTTGATCTGTTCATTTAGCCTTGCATGTTGTCCATTATATGTCATACTCACAAACTTTGTAAATAGATCTCCTTGTGCTCTGTCGCAGCTGCTGAATGGGGGGACCGGAGCTTAGTCAAGCTGCAATTCTGCAGCTTTTTTCTCCGGACTCCCATTCACCACATGTATCTGTGGTGCAAAAGAAACTCGTATCGTATCGTATCGTGTTGGTTCAGCGATGGTACAACTCGTACATACGCACGATCAACATCATGATGGTGTGCTTTTCACGCTCTCTGATTGGTCCCGCCAGCTTGTAGCGTCGGGGGTCTTGCGGGTTGTTCACCCACGGGGATGACTACTTGCGCGAACAAACCATATATGCACAAATCACCGGTAAATAAATATACACTATAGGGACCCGTAATAAACTACCATAATTGCGCAAGAGCCCCCAGTAAACGAGAGGATGACGAGGGATTAAACTCGCAAATCACTTCATTAAACCTGATACGCGACACCGGGCTCACGAAAACGAGTACACTTAAAAAAACAATACACATAAATAAAGTAAATTGTACCACAGCCGCTACCCTTCCCTAAAGTCCCGAGGCGCTCCAAAAACGACTTCCAATAAATCAAGTTTTATTGCTTCGAATAAAGAAAAAGGTTTTACCCACGAGAAACCAGCAGCCGCCTCCGCGGAGTCTCTGGCCGCGTTTTTATAATCCCCAAACGCTCTGCTCGGGAACTCATTTCTCCTGGAAGCGAAAACTGGCTGAAAGCTAAACTGATAGCGGCCGACACCCTATAAAATTAGATTTGTTTCACAGCCTCCAAACCGCTGCTTTAACCCCCCCCCCCCCCTTTTTTTTCCCTTTTCCTATGTAGTTCGATAAAATATCAAATGATAAAAACTGTACGTTGGCAACAGGGAAAAGCAATTTATACTTTCCTATAAGTTAAATATAAATTAAAGCACATATCGGATAAAAAGTTTTAAAAACAAAATTTACGGAGAGCAAGCAGCAGCTGCAAACCGAGTGTTTATAAATCCTCCCCCGAGATGATAAAAATGAAGGGGAATTTTACGCACTACGGGAGTTCTCGGCAGGAACTACGGTTAACGCTAAAATATGGTTGCTAAATTAAAACAAAAAAAAGTGACGATAAATAAACAAAATGCGAACCTGAAGAAGTAAACGCAGCAAAACTTCCAACCGGAATTTGTAATCCCACCGATTTGTTTTTTAAAGATTAATCTCGAATTTGATCTTCCTGAGATGATCTTTGGAGGCAAAGCGGCGATAAATTGGCGTCGGCTGCTCTCGTACCAAACACGTACGAGGTTGCTTTTGTGGTGGGTCCGCGTAAGTGGGGCATATCGGAAATATTTTCGAGGAGAACGCCATGAATTTTCACTTCACGCAGGAACGGCCGTCACATGTGGGCCAGTTTTTCCACCGCTGGTCCTTCTACGTCAACTGAGCATAATTAAAATAAAACATTAGATTTATATATATACAGGGTATTCCACGTAACTTGAGCCAAGTTTTAAGAATATTTTGGTGCCTTTTAGGAAGACGAAACCAAACGAGCAAGGTTGTTAATTGTTTGGAACAATTGAGGTTGTTTTTTCTATATTGCCTAGTTTACTAATTAAGTTTAATTAATTAAGTTCTGAAATATTCAATTTAGAGCAAAAGTACGAATGATAAAGTTGCAAAGCGTCCTCAGAAACATTTCATTCAGTGTTCTTAATCAACAATCCTTAGCACCTTGTTTTTATGGGCTTTAAAAAATTTCCAAATTATAAAATAAAAAAAAAGTGTGACTTTGAGCATGTGAACCTTGTATTTCAGCGCTCTCAGCCGTGGCTTGAATAAACTAGGCCTGCATGCTAAATATGGCACTGTGACCTGGGCGCTGCTGACGAATCGGCGTGTTTTTTTTGTGTTTGTTCTTTCATATTCGGGCCCTTTTTTTTTCAAGCCCGGAAAATCGAATTGTATTTTAGGTTTATTCATATATAAATATATATATATATCTATATATATATATATATATATATATATATATATATATATATATATATATATAAAGAGAGAGAGAGAGAGATGTGAGACTGAGTCATACAGTGCATGAATTCGTTAGGATTACTGACGACGTTAGCAAATAATAATAAAAAATATATTCACAAAGAAAAGGCAATAGAAACAGCGTCGACGTTTATAATTTAGCAAGCACTTTTGTTTTGAAGGGAATACTCGGGTGAACTTTATTGAGCACCTTCCCAGTGCTGATTATCTCAATTCGAATAAAGCCATAATCTGATTGTTGTACGACAAGAAATAGAAAACTTCCCAAATACCTATGCCGGTTGCTATCAGTAGGATTAATTTTGTCTAAAGCTTAGTAGTATTGTTTGAAAGACGAAATCTTTTTTAGATCTTCGAAGTCTGCCCACTTAAAAGAACACTAAGGCAGAATTGGAGATTGTCTTACTATGACGGAAACTCTGTCTACACTCTTAAGTGTCTTATAAAACCCTTAATTACAATCACACGTGGCCTTTCCCGCACTTAAATACAACACCAAACACCACGATACGCCCCGTTTAATCAGATATATAAAAAGGGGGCGTGTCGCGGTTCTTGCTCGCATTTTAAAAAGCAAAAATTCCACGTGTGATTGTAATTTTGGGTTTTATAGAAAGCTTAGTGTTAGTAGATTGAGTTCGCGCCATAAATAGACACCGATACACCCGTAAAAAATGTTTCTAATTTTTGCCAGGCGATTTATTATGGTGTCAGGAGACTACCCAAATAATGTTTTTTGCTGCAGAATCACGTATAGTTTTAATAAAGCCAAGAAACTCACTTGCTCCAAATCGAAACCGAACCCCGTTTACGGAGGTCGGAGAAATATAGCGAAGGAGAGAGTGGGGCGCGTTAAGTCCGTGCTTGGGAGCGCGAGAGTTTGACGCTTCTTTCACTAAACGGACAGGAGTGCCACCAGTGGCTGACACTCGAGCGCGCTCTTCGTGCACCGATAATTTTTCGGAGCGCGAGTGACTTCGCGATCCGTGACGTCACGTAAACAAACAAGATGGCTGCGCTGCTGTTGAGGCCGTCGAGGCAAAAGGTGTAGCCGGCCTGCTGCCCCTTTTGAGTTGATTAGTGCTTAATACAGCAGGTAAAAACGATTTGATTTGAAAGCCCACAGCGCAATTAGCGTCCCGAAAAAGGTTTGTTGGTGAATCTCACCTGAAAAAAAAAAACGCATCTATCGAACGGTCACCGATAGCACAGCCACAGAAAAGTTGTCGAGATGAGGCATTCGAACCGCTTTGTCCCTTTTATAATGCTTAGCCCAGCGAATAAAGATACTTCGATTTGAAAGCCGAAACATCAGTGAGCATTGAGGTAAAGGTTTACCTTATCTGTAGACTGCAGAAAATGCAGATTCATATTCACAAATTCGAAACTTTAACGCGTCTTCTAAAACGGAACATGGGCATATTAACTTGTCAAAATAATTGTATTTTCCGGAAACCGAATAGTATTTTACAACAGTAATTAAACTCGAAATGATTTAACCGAAAAACAACAGACGTTCCAGTATTATTGTCACCAAATATTTTGAGGTAACTAATAATTTCGAGTTTATTCATTTTGTTTATCAATAAATAAAATAAATAAGTTTATTTATTTTATTTATCAATAAATAAAATAAATAAACTCGAAATTATTTACCTTGAAAAACAACATACATTTTAGTATGATTGGCAGCAAACATTTCAAGGTAACTTCTACAGCGTGCTGATTTATAACGCTTCAAAAAAGACTAGAAGAATCAATACGATTAAACATATTAAAGTAACAACAATATAGTTCACTAAAGCAACACAAAGATTTATATATTGAGGGCGTTACCACACGAATCTTCTAAGAACACTAACAGCTTCAGGAACGCAGGGTGTGAATTTTATGCTCAGGCCTTTAACTTTATAATTCCTTCTTCAGTGTGCTTATATCGGCAAATGTCGAAGAGATAATAGGATGAGAATAATATTTAGAATAATCTCACTATTATCTTGAAGACGACAGATAGATCACAAAATTCGTGGTTGTCCTCTGTAAATATATATCTCTTTTTTGTCCTAAACAAAGCGACTCCAGTCACTTCCCAACGAATTAAAATTAGTTTTATTGCGGAAAACAAAAATAGTTTTGATTGGGGATTACAAACTGATACAATCTCTTAAATCAAATGGTCGTTAAACTACGCAGGCGAAAGCGTAAAACAGAAAATCCTAAATTCAAGCCGTCGGTTTAGTTACGAGTGGTGTGCCACTTAAACGATGAAAAAGCAACATTTCAACAAGCAAAATGAAATCCGCTGTAAAACTACAAGTTTAAGCAAAATAGTGACAAAGACAGTCGTTTCTTTTAGCTTTTTTTTTTTAACAAAGCTTTAACTTAAATATTATATTAGAAACGAATTTGACGAAATGCAGAGCTAGAGAAATGGATAGAAGCCCGCACCCAAGATACCGGAACCGAAACTGCAAGAAGTATTTTTAGACAGTGCAGGCATAAGTCGTAGCCAATCCCTGTTCGTATTAAAGATGGCTGCTTTCGGTTGCGTCCGGAACTGCGACCGGGGACACTTTCTCGTGTGGACGCGATTACAGGTGAGAATATTTCTGCAGCATGCTTGTAGAACAGTATTTATGTGTCCGGGAGTTCAGTGACTAGTGATACCGCTTACACAGTATTTGACTTGCTTAACGCTGAGGTGGTTTGGCGGCGAGTGCTATGAATGGCTGGCTAGCTTCGGCTTTTTCTTTCGAGTCATAACCGCTAAAACTACCTTCGAGTGACGATAGTGCTACTGATTCTTTTTTCTTTGCGTTCCGGCCGGCGTTCCCTGTCTCGCGAATCGTCGACAGTAAACAATCTGGAGACATGATTGATTCCTCCGTGTGGAGCTTGAGCAGAGGTTTCTTGTTTTTGCGTCATAAGCGGAAGCATCCATCCGAATGTGTGTATCGCTTTCGCATCATCGTTGTTCACCGATTTAAATGGCGTTCTCAGCACAAGTTCTTAAGTTGTCTTCGCTAGACGACAGATTTTGCGCAAAAACGAGGACAAGAGAGGGACAGAATCACGGCGACGTGTTTGTGTGCCTCTCTTGACCTCGTCTTTTGCGCTGCATTTGCTGTCCTGAATTCCCGACTAGCCGAATTATTAACCCTTGTCTTCGCTCCCAGCCATATAAGTTTTATAATCTTATTTTGAAGTTGAGGTTTTGTAGAAGCACGGTGTTTATTGAAAGTAGTGAAAGCGCACAATAAAGACGAATACGAAGACGGAGAGGCAAACAAGACGAGCGCTGACTATCAACTGAATTTTTTATTGGAAAAAATAGAAACAGCAAAATAAAACCAGGAAAAGCCACAAATACTACAAATGTGACTAGTCATCAATGACTCGGCCACCACACGTGTCAATAAAGTCCACTTCCTTTTTGTGAAGGAAAAGTGAGGGTTGACTGATACACTTATCAGGGCATTCCTTCTTTATCATATAAGCCTCCAGTACCTCCCTCGCCACCTTTTCTTTACCTCTCCCAACGATTGTAGTGCCTTGGAAGTTGGGAATGCAGCGGCAATCTCTGCAATGTATGTGTAAATGGGCTCCTGTTGTTGAACGCAGTGATAAAGCATGTTCGCGCAACCGTTCATTCGAGTACCTTCCGGTCTGGCCTATATAAACCTTGCCGCAGCCCAATGGAATTTTATAGACCACGCCCACCGCACATTCCACGTATTTGTTTACGTGCTTCACTGTGCATTGCCGCTTATCTTTGTTTTTTTTTTGTTTTTTTCTTTTATCCTCGGACATAGTTGAGCCAGTTTACGTGGTGCTGAGAATACCAGAGGTACCTCGAACCTTTCCGCCACTTTTTTATATTGTGTGACACCCTGTGTAAGTACGGCATCACGTGGGGTCTTGCTCTCTTTTTTTGCTTGTCCTTTTGGCTTTTGCCCCTGAACTTCTTCAGAAGTTTTTGAGCCACTGCGAGCATAAGGGAAGTAGGATACCCTGCAGTTCCAAGTCTCTTGACCTGACTACAGAGGCTGTCGTGCATGGCATGGTGACATGACTTTCCAATTGCCGTCTCTAGACATGACGACGCAATGCTCCGTTTCACCAACTTCGAATGCGCCGAATCATAGGGGAGGATTCCCTTCTGGGTACGCGGTTTGTAACCCCAGCACAGGTGTTCCCCTGTGAATTGCATTCGCAAATCCAGAAACTGTAAAAACGGCCCATCCTGGCGCTCAAGGGTGAACTTCAGGCCTCTAGAACTTTCTTTAAACACGCTCATCACATCTTCAACAACTTCACATACAGTAAGGTTTTCACAGTTTTGCAAAATCACTAAATAATCGTCTACGTACCTAAACAACTTGGTCACAGGTTTGCCTTTCAAGGCATTCTCAATGGCTCGGTCATATTTGGCCAAAAAGATATCACAGAGCACTGGGGCAGCACAGGAACCAATGCAGATACCAGCCCTCTGCACGTAATGGCGGCCCTCAAAAAGAATAAAAGTCGACTCCAAGTAAAATTTTAAAAGTTCCAAAAAACCATCAACACTCACACCACAGGCGTTTTGGAAACCAACCACGCCGTTTCTCTCAGTATATTCACGTACTGCCTCAAACAATTCTTGGTGGGGGCTAGAGTAATAAAGATCCTCTACGTCAATAGAAAACGCCACGGCATCCCCTGGAACATCCTTCCTAAGAAACTCCACCACTGATTGAGAATTTTTTACCAAAAAGGGGTCACTGATATCTAGAGCACTCAAGTGCTTCTGCAAATAGAGGCTAACCTGTTTTTGCCACGATCCCCTCTCCGTGACGATTGCTCGAAACGGTGTATCAGGCGTATGGGTCTTTGCCGACAAAAAACATCAAGTTGCGCGATCTTGCATTTCTGTATGTTCTTTTCCAACGTTGCAAGCTCCAAACCATTGCATAATTTCAGCGCAGCACTTTAGACCTTTTTGGGTTCAAGATGTGACAGCTTAAACTTCTTCTGAATCGCGTTCCTAGACCTGACTTCCATCATGTTTATTGGAAGCGCCACGAACTCTCCCTCTTTGTCTGCCTGTAATAGGCTTAGGTTATTGCTCTGGAAAAACGAAACGACTTTGTTTAGCCTGCCCCCATTATGTGTCTGGGCCTTTATCGAGGCACACCGTAACAGGCAATCCACACCCTCCAAAACGCATCTCTCCCGCTCTTCAGCTGGCGCCTTGTCGGAAACAGCCCGCACCTCGGCTAAAAGCTCATGCGGTTTCATGCGGGGTTCTACACTATACTTGGGTCCTTTTTCCAATGTACTTGCGACATCTTTAGGAACGTGAACATCTCCCAGAATTGTCAGACCGCTTTGACTTGTGGTTCCTGACCGAGTCTTTTTGGGAATCCCAAGTCTCACGCGTTGCCACATGAAAGTTCTAGAGGCCCGAAGTTCACCCTTGAGTGCCAGGATGGGCAGTTTTTACAGTTTCTGGATTTGCGAATGCAATTCACAGGCGAACACGTGTGCCGGGGTTACGAACCGCGTACCCAGAAGGGAATCCTCCCTTATGATTCGGCGCATTCGAAGTTGGTGAAACGGAGCATTGCGTCGTCATGTCTAGAGACGGCAATTGGAAAGTCATGTCACCATGACATGCACGACAGCCTCTGTAGTCAGGTCAAGAGACTTGGAACTGCAGGGTATCCTACTTCCCTTATGCTCGCAGTGGCTGAAAAACTTCTGAAGAAGTTCAGGGGCAAAAGCCAAAAGGACAAGCAAAAAAAGAGAGCAAGACCCCACGTGATGCCATACTTACACAGGGTGTCACACAATATAAAAAAAGTGGCTGAAAGGTTCTAGGTACCTCTGGTATTCTCAGCACCACGTAAACTGGCTCAACTATGTCCGAGGATAAAAGAAAGAAAACAAAGATAAGCGGCAATGCACAGTGAAGCACGTAAACAAATACGTGGAATGTGCGGTGGGCGTGGTCTATAAAATTCCATTGGGCTGCGGCAAGGTTTATATAGGCCAGACCGGAAGGTGCTTTAATGAACGGTTGCGCGAACATGCTTTATCACTGCGTTCAACAACAGGAGCCCATTCACACATACATTGCAGAGATTGCCGCTGCATTCCCAACTTCCAAGGCACTACAATAGTTGGGAGAGGTAAAGAAAAGGTGGCGAGGGAGGTACTGGAGGCTTATATGATAAAGAAGGAATGCCCTGATAAGTGTATCAGTCAACCCTCACTTTTCCTTCACAAAAAGGAAGTGGACTTTATTGACACGTGTGGTGGCCGAGTCATTGATGACTAGTCACATTTGTAGTATTTGTGGCTTTTCCTGGTTTTATTTTGCTGTTTCTATTTTTTCCAATAAAAAATTCAGTTGATAGTCAGCGCTCGTCCTGTTTGCCTCTCCGTCTTCGTATTCGTCTTTATTGTGCGCTTTCACTACTTTCAACATGCATAACCAACTTGCCTGCATCGCCACATTAGTACGGTGTTTATTCATCTGATGTGCGGGGCAAATGTTACCTTGCAGTAGGTATGGCGAACCGTACATACTTCGTAATTTTTCGCGGAGTCGTGATTATCCGTCAGTTCCGTGTTTTACATTTTTAACATGTTACATTATTGGAAAATAAATAAAAAAATCGAACAAGTACCTGGACCTTGCATTTTATACTGTGTTACTAATATAAAGATACAAAGTATTAATTAGAAGATCTAGACCAGTTTAGAGCACTAACCTATAGGTAGAGGAATGCATTTATTACCAAGACCTAATCGTAAACATTGTTCAAGGTGTTTTGCGTTCAATATAACCGATCTTACCTTTGTTTCCATTTTGCTATGGACCGACTCTCTCTGCTGTAAATGTCGTGATCAGGATTGTTTGACCTACCATAATATATGTTGTTTCAATCTCACAAGTTACAATGCCTCTGTGGTGTAGAAGTTCTGTGTTGGCGTCCGGAGCGCAGAAATTATGGTCAAAAACCTGGGCGGTCCCTTTTGTGGAGCTCTTGGGCCATACCTTCAATTGTTTTGTGGCATAAAGCCCCAATATTCCCTTTTTATATCAGATGTATTCCCGGCCAAGCGGAAACTGACGTTGATTATACGGATTCTCGTGTAAGTACACTCAAGCCAAATAGTCTCAATTGTCTATGGTTTTGAGGTTCACCTTTTAGAACAACCATACAGCGGCAGTTATTGCAGGAAACCTACCTTGGGAGGGACTCCAAGTGTGTTGATGGAAGGTTGCCTTAGTATTTTAGCAATACATTAGAAACGTGTTATTCATGTGGCTGACAGTGACATTTTAATGCTGTATGAATAACAGGACTGCCACAAGGTTTTCCTTTAATAAAGTTTTTGTGGGGGTTACTTTTTTGTGTGACAACCTGGTGAATCAAATGAACAGTAGGACAGGAACATTATTATAGTTTCAGAACATTTAGAGGCAAATAGCTAGTGACATACTGTCCTTGTGTAGGGCTCTTGCCAACTAACAGGTTTGTGTTCCTGTTACTATTTGGGTGCATGTTATAAGGTGGGGTGTAGAAACATGCAGAATATTTGTTAGCAACGTTTTACATACTCGCCTGGCACTTGATATTGACTCTGTCATGACACTGCTAGAAAATACATATGAAAGTGCTTGTCCTAAAATAAAGCCACTTTGCTACCTGTCACTTGTATGTTTGTTATCACAAAACTAAAAAACCCTTTACAAAAAGACTAAACATTGGTTTGGTTTCTGTTTTAGTTTGTTTCAGGTGCACCTGAAACACAGCATTGACGTCTAAAGCAGTTGAACAAACATTCACCCAAGCGACAGCTAGAGAGACTCAAAGTTGGTTGGGCTGGCAGCCCGCAGCTTTTGGGAACCAAAAGAGCTGCACATCAGGAGCATGGCACGGACGCCTGTCTCTTTTTACTCCAGGATGGGAACAAGGGCGACCCGAACATGACATACAGTAGAGCGGAGGAATGGCCGTTTTGGTTGACTTACATTTAACCCTACTCTAGATAAGTATAGGATTTAATACTATAAGGCTGGTTTGTATCTAGTTATCGCAACACATTACCTATGTTGTTGCAGTAAACTTAAAAATTTAGTTCATGCTTGTATCTTAAAGTAGGTTAAAAATTCTTGCAATTCTAATTAATGAAGATAACAGAAGTGGCTTATGTATGTATGATGTGCTCGCAATGACTCGCTGAATTCAACCAAATAAAACCGGAAGTTTCTTTTTGATTTCGAAGAAAACAAATATTAATATTTTTTGTTTTCTCGGGAAAAAACATGACATGAGATTTATGCATGCACCTTTGCAGGCTGGCACAGAGCCATAGCCTGGGGCCAACTTGGAAGCCGTATCACACCGAGAAGATGGTTCTGGCATTTCAGCATAACTCGGCGATATTGACAAGTTGGTACGTAGAAAAAAACAACTCTGTTCCTTTTTTATTTTACCTGGGAGTATGGCGGGGATGGAGCTGACTTCTCTTGTGCAGTTTGAATTGTTTATAGGATAATATATAGACTATGCAAACTAAATTCCTGCATATTCCAAAGAATATAATTTTCACAAATCACTTACTATGGCAAACAATAGGTCCTACGAACATTTGGACGTTTTGAATATTCACACATGTATAGTATCTGCAGCCAAGTATAAAAGTATAAAGTTATCTATGCTGAGGGCCGTCATAAATGAAAGAGGCTTTTTGTAATATAAATTATGCTTCTGGCCCATTGTCGCAAGACAATCATTTGCGAAGGATCAATTGATAAATAATATCACGAGATATGACAATGATTTCACAAAATGACATGCCAAAAACAATAGATGGCTGAGGGAGCAGTGCAATTTAGAGACGTGGCTCGATGAAACATTTGTTGGATTCACAAAACAGCATCTTTCTTCTGGTACAGTCTCCAAAACCGTACGTGAACCCATTCTGCATGCAACCCCAATAGTTTGTATTTAAGGAAGTTTTAGTTGACATAAGATTTGGAGCTCATAAATCTTGGAAGCTTGGTGGCTGGCTCCATTCCAGCCAAAATTCAAGAAGCACAATGGGGCATATTTGGTCAGCATACTGGTTTACCTCGTCATGTTTTTGCCTCCGATGTCATCCTGGCAGATAACTGCCGGCAGCTGCATTCCTCACGCATTGGCCCATCTTATCAAGGAATACATGGCTGGCGTGACGTTGCCTTCATTGCTCTGTACCATGCACTGTGCCCGTTCCGTCTGCAGCATTTTGGCATCATCGAATCTGTTCCTCTCGACAAGGCTTGCCAAGAACAAATTCGATGGTGCCAGATATGTGTTGCATAAGGTAAGGATCCAGGAGAATGGTACAGTGCTATATTGCCGCGAGCGCAGCTGACCAAGAAGGCAGCGCGCTCGTGGTCTAACGGTTATCGCGCGCGCTTTCCACGCTGAAAGCCAGGGTTCGATTCCTGGCCGCGGAGGCGCATTTTTGTTGACTCTGTAAAGTAATGTTCTGGCAAATTCGAGAACCATGTAGTTTGTCCGAGGTCAGAATGTTCTACACGCCGAACCTCCTATGCCGATCATTCCAGAAGCCCACACGTGTACATAAGGGGCTCCGCGTGGCTATCTGCAGTCAGTCTCGCCCCAGCGCTTGATCCTGCGGTTTCGCCGACTTCAACGCCCGCGACGCTCCTTTGTACCCCTTTTATTTTTGGCACAAGTTCGCCACATTAAACGTTTATTTCTTTCTGTTTATTTATTGTTTTTTGGTCATCACCCGTGACATTTTGGTGGAGGTGCTGGGTACCTCATCCCCGTGCAGCGTTCCCCTCCCAGGGCCCGCAGTGCAAGCCCGATTCCAAGCCCGGTGAGAAGACCACTCAACGCGGAACCTGAAACTCGGACCAGTCGCCGCACCCAAGGTCTACACCCGGAATACGGACTTCTGCCACCCAGGACCAAGCAGCCAACGAAGCCGACGATGGAAGACCAGCAATCGCAGTCCCCGACCGCCGCCGCCGTCATCTACCTGCCTGTTGCGCAGCGAACCCCCACGACCTTCCACTGGCCTGGCTTCTGCACTACGAACGTGTAGCACGCCATAATGGATGGACCACTGAGCAGCGCCTCCAAAACCTCTACTTCTCCTTGGAGGGTACCGCAAGGCAGTGGTTCGAGAACCACGAGGCGTCGCTTATGTCGTGGGACACCTGTATCGCTGGCCTGAAGGAGACATTCACGAACCAGACACGACGATAGAGAGCGGAGGACCTCCTTCAAGTACGAACTCAAGGGCCCAACGAAACAGTCACCAGCTCCGTTGAAGACGTCCTCCGCCTGAGCAGCCGCGCCGACCCTCAGTCCACCGAGGAGAAGAAGCTGCGCGTCCTGATGAGAGGAGTGAGGAGTGACATCTTCGGTGGCCTTGTTCGCAACCCACCAACTACTGTCGATGAATTCGTCGCCGAGGCAACTAACATCGAGCCGGCCCTGTCAATCCGAGCCACCCACTACAACCGACACGCCTGCTGCCTCGACGCTGACGTCTTCCCGATTCGACGAGGGCGGCATCAGCGCTGACAATCTTCGTGCAATTGTCCGCGACATCGTCCGGGAAGAGCTCAGGAAGCTGCTGCCTACTGCCAACCAGCCGGCTTCGCTGTCGTTAGCCGAAGTGGTACGCGAAAAAGTTCAGCGGGCAATTCAACCGGAGACTCCTGCCAGCGTGGCCGCAGCCGATGAGCCGACAATGACCTACGCCGCAGTGGCCCGACGACCGCCGCCAACTGCTCAACATTACCCGGTGGCGCCACGACGAGACCCACCAACGCAGGCGTACCCCCGACGCAACGAAGAAGTACGTCAGTACGACCGCCGAGAACAGCCGGCGCCAAGAAAAACCGACGTGTGGAGGACAGCGGTTCGACGCCCCATCTGCTACCACTGCGGGGAGGCCGACCATATCTACCGCCTTTGTCCTTACCGGCAAATGGGCCTGCGTTGGTTCCACCCGAACGACCCACGCCCGAGGTACGGCGAACGCCCTCGCGACATCGAGGAGTACCTCCGACCCTCGCCCTCCCCAGTGTCGTCTCTCCGCCGTGAAGCCCGCTCCCCATCGCCACGACGTTCAGCGTCCCCAGTGTCACGACCCCGCCGAGAAAGCGTGTCTCCCCTGCGTCGCCGGGACAACTAAGTGCGGCAACGCCTGGAGGTGGCATTGCCGAAGACGACCGTAGTAAAGAGCCTCCAAGAACGACGGAGCGCTCCCACTCTCTCGACGCTACGGATCACAACGACGTCCCTGCATCGGTGTCCAATAACCTAAACGTTATAATCGACGGCCACGACGCATCGGCACTTCTGGACACCGGAGCAGACTACTCAGTCTTGAGCTCTCTCGCCGCCTGCGAAAAGTCATGACGCCGTGGGATGGACCCCAAATACGAACCGCAGGAGGACATCTCATCACGCTAGTCGAGAGATGCACTGCTCGCGTCGAGATTCACGGTGAAACGTGCCCTGTGAAGTTCGTCGTTGTGCAAGACTGTTCGAGGGACATTATTCTCGGAATGGACTTTCTCTGCGAGTATGGCGCCGTCATCGACCTCGGGGCAAACCAGTTGACGCTGCGAAAACCTGTTTTACCGCCGGTGAAGACCAACACGTCGTCAACCGCGATCCGAGATATCGCCGACCATGTGAACCTACCGCCGCCGTCGAGTGTTTTCATCACCGTTATAATAATAATAATAATAATAATAATCTTTATTTTTCGGGTGCCCTAAAACGGCCGAGCGGCCTTCTCTTAGGTACACCAACTCGTACAATAAAAACTCTTAAACAAAAATCCTACTCATTAAAAAGAAATATATATGCATATACACTGACGCGCTATGAAGTGACGAAAAGTTCGTCCAACTGACAGCGAAATGTAGGCAGGGGTGTGGTGATGTCAACTTGAGGCGGCACAATGCTGTTATACAATGTCTGTAAACGAGAAAGAGGTGACACACGGCATGGTGAGCAAATATCAAAACAGGTGAGCTGTCTCGTCGTACGGAAAGGAACATGGAAATGGATTTTACTAATAAGCCATGAAGAATCAATGGCACCATTAATGATCTTATGCAGGAATACCAAGTCAAGGACTGTTCTTCTGTGTGATAAAAGCTTCAGCGAAAATCTATTCAGTAAGCATTCATAGTCATAATACACGCGTCGTCCAATCCATCTATCATAAACAATTCGAACAAATCTTTTTTGCACACGTTCTATGATCAAAGCCTGTGTTACAGAAATTGAATTCCAAATCACAGAAGCAAACTCAAGCCTTGAAACCACTAACGATTGAAAAAGATGTATTGAACAATGGGGCTTTTTAAAATGCTTGGTCAAACGCGATATAACTCCTAGAACTTTCATTGCAGAGCTGACAACAAAAGAGACATGATTTTTAAAAGTTAATCCGCAATCGATGAACACACCAAGATCCCTTACAATTGACACTCGTTCAATCGGATTTCCCTCAAGATGATAAGTGTTATTTATGATCGCGCGGCGTCTGCACAAAGATATCACTTTTGTTTTTAAAGGATTAAGAAATAACTGATTTTGTTTACACCACTGTGCTATATTAGACACATCATGTTGTATCAGATCACAATCTAAATGACAGTGAACACTCTTAAACAACTTGATATCGTCAGCAAACAAAAGCAGTTCAACGTTCTTTACACATGACGCTATATCATTTATAAAAATTGAAAACAGTAGAGGACCCAAAATTGAACCCTGGG